ACTGCTTTTCTAAATGAAAAGATGAGAACATATAGAAAGGAGAGATGAAGATCCAGATCCAGCAGACTGGAGTGGCCCATCTACAAGTCAATGAATGACTCAGCTATTTAGAGCCTGAAGACACACAGACAATACTTTGATACTTGGCCTCTAGAAGCCTCAGTAATATGTTTTTGTTTTTGTTTTTAAGTCACCATGTGGTAATTTTTATGGCAGTCCTAAGAAACTGATGGTAAATAAATCAAATATGAGATTAAAACTAATATTAAAGTTATCAAAAAAGTTAGTTATCAAACACAAAATGATGACAAAAGACTGAGCATAAAAGAAAGCAATCCTAAATTGAGGGTGGGTGAATTCGGTCATGTTGAATCGCAAAGGCAGAAAGCTAAACGATTTCAAGTGTATACTTGAGTTTAAATGAATATTATCTCTTACTATACTGTATTATAACTAATAAATGCTAGTGGATTGTCAGGTTATTTCAGGAATAAGGCAACAATAATATATAATATTGAGACTAATAAATAAAAATGGCAGTAATGTCATTTACAGTGTTTTGCACTTAAACATCTTCACAAAGCCACCTTGCTGTGGAGTTGTTAAAGCACACCAACACATATAATGCCACCCTCACACACGCTTTAACTTTATCTCAAATGACATTTTTCAAAAAAGTCTTGCTCCATACCCACAGGCTGAATACCCCATCTGTGACATGAGCTTGTATTCTTCGGCTGCAGGAGGCTTGTCAAATTCTGTATGATCTTATTTGTCTGTCGTGTGTTCCCGCCTTCCAGCTTTCCCTATTTACTGCTGTAGCTCCAGCATCTAGCACAGGCTTGGCACATGGGAGTGATGGAATGAATAAACAGATGTAAGGAGCTCACAGCAAGGCTTTCATTGTGAACCACTCGGTGCACAGATGCTCTACGTGTCCCCAAGTCAGTGAGCAGGCTCCTCTGCACCTGAGGCTGATGAAGAAGAGGATGCTACCCCCTTCCTGTGATTCCTTTGGACGTGGCCAGCAGATAGGGTTATCTGCACATTAACCATTTTTTTTAACTCTAAAATAATCCAGACTTAGGAAAGACACAAGAATGGCAAACAATTCTCATATACTTCATTCACAGTACCTAAATATTAATATCTCACAATGTTTGCTTTGCCAGTCTATGCTTGTTTTTGAGCCACCTGAGGACACACTGAAGAAACAATCCATTTTTACTGTCAAGTACTTCAGTATGTTTTTCCTACAAAGACATTCAGTGTTCTAGCCAAAGTACAATTTTCGAAAGCAGAGGGTTGTGTTGAAATAACCTGGCTAGTTAATCTACAGAATAGATGCAAACTTAGCTAATTGACCTCCCTCATGTCCTTCATAGTAACATAAATACATACAAGATACATATATAAATACAAATAAAATGTTTGTATGCTACTATATATGTGTGTATGTTGTCTACCTAGTAAGAGCTCTATCCATCCTATGAAAGTATCATATCTCTGCGTTTGCATTTGATCTGAAAAACATCATTAGACTTGCTCCTAATTACTTTGACATTTTCTCAAACCCAGACTGATTCTTTGTTAATGCCTTTCAATTCCTGTTTACCTGATGCATCCTCGTGGTCAGACTGAGATTATGCAGCTGGAGAGCAGGGATACTACCAAACTGGTCCAAATAGATATCTACTTATCCCATTTTTATAGACATTAGCTTCAATCACTTGACGAAGATGTTGGTAATTTTATTTAATATTTGAGATGTTAGCATAAGAGAGACTTCACCTTATATAACTGTGCTCACTAATTTTTAAAAATAGTGCAACTCTATTCTGGTTCTGACTTAATTTTGTGTGTGTATGTGTGTACATATACGTGTATATATATATATGTATTTGTGTGTATACGTAAATGTGTACATATGTATATGTGTATATACATACTTGTATACATATCTATTCATTATATATGTGTGTGTGTGTGTGTGTGTGTGTGTGTGTGTGTGAATTGTTTGATTTGGGATCACAAATAGGAATCCCTACGCTTCTAATTAGTGTAATGATCCAACAGAATTTTACTGTACTTCCTCCTCTCATGCATAGAAAGAAATAAAATTAGGATGTGATTTCTTAAAGAACACAATGTAATATCCAATCTCAATCCTTGGATGGGAAAGCGGAGGCTCAAACTGGTTAATTTGCCTAAGAGAACAGAACAGACCTGGAAATAACCAAACATTTATTGTTTACTGTAGAGTGAAAAAAAGTCACTTTAGTATCTTTCAAACATATAGGTATAGAGATACAACTAAAGAAACCAAAGGCAGATTGCTTAGGGCTATTTTCGATAATTATGGGATTTTTATACAGAGCCATACAATCTCTTCCACCAAATCACTGCAGTTTCTTTGGAGGAAAACCAGTTCTCCGAGTTTTCTCTCCTCTCTTCTCTCCCTCCCCTTTCTATTTTTCTCCTCTTTTGGAAACATTAAAGTTAATAAGAAGACAACAAAAACAGTAGCATTTGGACACCCTGATAGATAGTCCAGAGACAGCAGAAGATGGCTTCATAGCCTGCATAATGCTCCCTGCCTGATTCTACGGACTCATGTTTGATTACAATCAGTACCTTTCTGCATATTAATTTTCATCTGCACACACTATCTCAGCCATAATCTCATCATATTTTACGTACTTCAAAAATGAGCTAAGTCATTCTTTTCCAAGGTGGCTATCCAGCTTATAACCACTGCTATTATTAGTCAATCAGTTTCAACAGTGGACCTCACTTCTCCGCTCTCTGGAGAACACAAGAAGGTTCTGAACCTCCCCTTCCTTGCTCTGCATTCTACATCTGCCTTGAAAGTAATGAAGACAAGGGATCTCTGTCTAAATCTTTACCTTGGTGAAAGTTAGGTTTAGGTAGTGAGCAGCCATGAGATTAGAGCTGAAGACTAACAGCACCCTCGACCAGCCACTGTGCACAGAATGTGCAGCCTCTCGTTTCCTGTGGTTCTTGTGGTTCTCCTAGGAACCACAAGATGTTTAAAAAAATACATGTGATGTTTTCATTAAGGGTTAACCCTAAATCAAGGCTTAATGTAATGTCAGTAAGACAAACTTATAAATCATCAAAGCATAATTCAGGCTGCCCTGAGGAGTACAAATGTTAATTTATTCAACCTTTTGACATCTAGTGTGTACTGTCACAGTTGTTAGCAGCAGTGTTTGGGAGCCTCTTTGGAGGAGTTAGGTCAGTAGAGGAGGACTTTCACTTTTAGAGTCTGGCTCCACTTCATGCTGACTGCCTGATTCCTGCCAAGGTATAGTAGGCAAGGTTCCCAGAACTGCTCTAGTCTCCCAGGATCATCTGCTGCCGTTCCTAACCTGTGAAGGACCGTATACCCTTAAACTGTAAGCCAACTAACTTTTGCTTTCTTAAGTTGCTTCTTGCCATATATTTTGGTCATAGAATCAAAGAAAGTTATGGATACAGTGTGATAACGGACTCCCAAATTCTGGATGTGTCTCCTCTGTTCCCCAATCCTCCCTAAAGCTCTGGAGAACCAAGTAAACTATTCAAAAATGACTCTACATGCAGATGACCAATTCTACAGTTTGTGTTATGTCCATCCACTTGAAAGACAGAGAACAAGAAAAAGGTTTAAACTTACGTTTATCTGAAAGGAGGTGTCATGTAACAAGAGCTCAGAAGTCACAATTTGAATAGGGTTTTTAACAAATTTTTAAGAAAACTACTTTTTTAAAGATAAACATCCATTTTGAACGATTAAAAAGCATGACCCGAATGAGAATCTAAGATCATTGAAAAATCTGGAGCAAAAAATAGACAAAATTGATAAAACAGATAAAATTATAAAGGTATGTAAGTATTTAAGACAAAGTATGTTCCTGCTCCTCTCACTGCAAGGGTCTGGACATATGTCAATGATCACTGAGACAACCATGACACTTCACAAAAAGATTAACAAAAAGCAACTCTCAGATAATGTGTCAAATGGCTTCCATATTGTTCTGAAGTTCACAGAACTGTACTAATGTTGAAAACCTGTGCACCACCTGTCTCCCTTTAGTGTAAGCTTTTAGGGAAGAAAAAAAAAATTCAAGTTACATTTGACTGGTGTAAGCCCCTTTTGGAATTACCTCTTGATCTTCCAGTTGTATTTAACTCAGGATTCTAACAGTGGTAAAAATAAATAAATAAATAAAAATTCATTTCTCCCCTCAGAGTAGTTTTTTTTTTTTTAATAGATTTCTTAACAAAAGGAATAAAACTGCATTTGCCTTACATTTTTTTTATTACAATTTTCTCTTCATAGGCTGGCTATGTAGAGGAACTTTATATAACCTGAAATGCTGTATGGCAGAGTTTATGACTTGGATTCACTGAATCTGGGATGCACTTTTTTTTTTTTTTTGTCTGTGTGTTCGTGTGTAGTTGTCCTTTGTGATTATTTAGAGTTCAATACACATTCTTCAAGAAAGTAGGCAAATGTGTAGTTTAAAAAATACTAACAAAGTAGGTTAATCTTTTAAAAATGCTGGTTTGTAATAGGAACGTTACCAGAGTTAGGAAAATAGACACAGTAGAACAGCTCGCTTAGACGCTATTCCTCAAACAGCATTACAGACACAAATATTGTGTATGAATTAAAGGGTTGGCTGATATACAATCCACTGAAAAGTACAAAATTTCACGCATTAACATATCACTTTCACTCTGATGGCTGTTTTAACCCAGATATATTTTTAATTTATCACAGAAACCTGTAACTAGAGACTCTCATAGACCTCTTTGTCCTTCTGACTCTGCATAGCTCAAAAAAAGTGTCTGTTCGATGCATTAGCATATTAATTGGCTATATTTCAAAGTTCAGAATGAAGATATTGAATGTTATTTTGCTTCAACCCCTTAATATAAAAATATAAATAAAAATTATTTAAAAAATATGTTTTCTCAATTACAGTACTCACAGCTGTTGCCTGCTCTATTAGGCCTCTGTCCGGCTGCATGTTCTGGCTCCTTGTATGGAAACTGTAGCGTCGTATCTAAGGTCCTGAACCCTTCTTTAAGAGAGTGGTGCTTGTAGTACTCCACAAGCTCCTTTAAGAGAGCGCAATAAACAGAGTTTGTTATTTTTGTTCTCAAATAAACTCCTTAATACATAATTATACATGACACAATGATGACCATTCTGAGTCTAACATTTCCAACATCTATAAAAGTAGGGGAAAGAGCTATGCCTGCTGTCCGGATGGGCCTGATTCCCACCCCAGCCCCAGACACTGCCCTGTTTACTGGAGACATTTATCCATGTTGGTTGCTCTCTACTGTTCTTCAGGCATGCAGAGCATCCTGTCTGTCTTCAGATGCGGTCCTGAAAAGAAGCCATGCTAAACCTCTATCTCAGAGTAGTAATTATTGCTGTTGTTAGTGAGAGACGTGTCTTTCGGAAGAAAAATGAAAGGAACAGCTGTTTGCTTGACTCTGTAACAATTTCCACTTTCCCCCATTTTCTTTCAACTTGTCAGAAAAACAAACTTAATACTAAATGTACTTTTATACACACACACACACACACACACACACACACACACACACAAGCTGCTAAACTCTGAGCACTGTTCAGCATCAAGCCTGGTTTACACTGATGAAGGGTTAGAACACATCTTAGCTTCAATGTCACCCAGTATCCACCCAGAAGGCAGCATGGTGGTTCTTCCTAATCGCTGTTTAGAAATTATTTGTCTTAAATATCTGGAAGCCTAATATAAGCTTCTACCATATTTCAAACTAAATCTCCAGGAAAGTCTTTTTCTGTGTATCAAGGCTTCAGATTCTACACAAATCTGAATCCCTCTACTATGAACTGAAGTGGAGTACTTCATCATGAAAGTGTTATCAGTGGCTGAATGTGGCAGATATAAAGTCTCTGATAAATAGTTGAAATGAAAATAAAAGCAAATTAATTTAAACAAAGCAGTCGATGCTTCTGCTGCAGCACCGTTTAAAAAGGATGGAAGAGCAACTTATTTCTTGAAAAAAAAATAACATTGTCAATTGATCCAATACATCTCCTTGGTGGTGAAGTTCAAATTTTCTACAAGAAATCAATCAGGCCAGAACCCACTCACAACATGAAGAAAAGGATCATCAATGATTTATTCTTTTCTGTCTAACTCCGGAGCATGGTGTACTGCATTGTGCTGGGGGTGCCAGGGGTCAGAAAAATGCTGAAGACAAGGTTCCTACTCTCCAGGAGTTCTTATCCCAGATAGGAAAGTGAAGGTCTATGTGACTTCAAGGGCACAAAGAACTCTCTTTACTGTGTTCAAATGGGAAACAAAGGGAGACTTCAAGATGGAGGTGCCTCCGCTTAAGTCAAAGACCAGATTAAAAACAAAAAACAAACAAACAAAAAAAACCCCTCAGTTGGTAGCAATGGGGAAGGGATCGTTTCAGGTGGGTATCTAGGGCTGAGAACAGAGACAAAGGTGACAAAGTGAAACTCCCCACCCTGGACTAGGGAGATGGTTCAGTGGATAGGAGCATTTGTTACAGAAGCATGAGAGTGAAAAGCTGAGTTGAAATTGCAGCCACCCATGTAGAAATCAGGCTATTGCCACACATGTAGCTATAACCCCGGATGTATGGGGTTGGAGGAGACAGAGGGAATGCTGGGAGGTGCTGGCTGCCAGCCTAGCGCCAGGGTCTATTTGTGAATAGGGTGGATAGAGAGGCAGAACATATAATCTGTATCTTGCTGTGGACTCTACATATTTGCACCTGTGCATAGAGCACGGACAATTTAATGCACATACACACACACACACACACACACACACACACACACACAACCTGTCATCTTAATAAACTGAAAGCAGCCTGATTTATCTAAATCACTGGAGAAAGCGCATGATGATTCTTTTCTTCAATTCCCACATTCGGAAAAGGTGGGCCATAAAACATTTCACACAGGTCACAGGTCATGCTCGGTACATGCTAAAAATCAGGACAGCTAGCACTATTTTCTGCAGCAAGCCCTTATGTGGCTTCTCACATCTTAACCTAAGAGCCTCATGAGCTGTTGCTCAGCCCACGGATGCGTGGAACTTGGTAAAGTTAACCAACTTGTATGCAATCCGTATTACTACTAGCTGCCCAGAGTGAGTCCTTTTAGCCACATCAAGTTATTAAAAAAAGAGCACTTGGCAAATGTAAGTACAGAAAAGGGAGGCAGACAAAAGTCAGACTTCTATAACATACCAAGAACTCTGTTTTCTTAAACTTGAGATGCTACAGTCTTAGCAAACGTTAATTCTATAACTTAAAAGTGTGTGTTTGTGTGTTTGTGTGTGTGTGTGTATGTGTGTTTCTTCCTTGAGCCCAGAGAATGTGAGTGCTTGATGAAAGAATGGAATCTTGACAAAAACAAGGGGCAAAAGAAACAAAACACCAAGGGGCTGGAGAGATGACTCAGCGTTTAAGAGCACTGACTGTTCTTCCTGAGGACCTGGGTTCAATTCCCAGTATGCATATGATAGTTCACACCTGTCTGTAACTCCAAGATCTGACATCATCACACCGACACACGTGCAAGCAAAATACCAATGAACATGAAACAAAAAACATATACATATATACAAAGAAAAGAAAGAAAGAAACACTAAGTAGAACATTGTGTCTTGGAGATGGCTACCTATATAAAAATATGACATTTGTAATATGCCTATTTTTTATATGGTTTGCCAAGAGTAGCTTGGAAGTTAAACTGTGCTTAATAAATATAATAATTTTCTTTTTTGATGATATAATAAAAAGTTTAAGGAAAGCTGTTTGTATATGGCTTCAATGATACCAAGGAGCTGTTCTTTTAGTCTTGACACTTCAATTAAGATGTGCTATTTTCTTTGACAATATAAATATAAATCTGAAACAAACTGTGTAGTTCAAGAGCTTTGAACTTCAATTTAACTTTATGAGAGAGAATATGAATTTTATAAATTTTGTTATAAATCATTATTATTAAGATTAATGTGAAGTTGGCTATAAACTATTGAATTATTGAACAGGAAAAAAAGGTTTTGTTGGTCATTTAGTATTTTTTTACAGAAGGGAAAAAAAACCCCACACTTTTAAGAACCAGGATCAGGCAATTTAGTAAACTGCAGATGGTCTTTAATACCTGGCTAAGCATGGAAGTATTTTAGTTACATTTTTCCAGTCTTAGGCAGGTAAATCTTCCTAACATGCTCCTGAGTAGAATTAAGGAGTGCCACTGTGGATCTTTTCCAATTCATGGCTTTATGCTCTCTGTATTTTAGTCTAATCCACCCCTGCTTTAGCAGTCATTGACCTTCAGGTACAACACGCAAATAAGATGGCTCTAAACAAAAGAAATCTCTAAGCTTCCCTTATCTCAGCTGACACAGTGGTGTCAACAATCCAACCCTGAGAAATAATGAGTATGGGCTAGTCATTCCAATTACCAAGGAAACAGGCAATGGAGATAGCTTACAAACAGCATTTGGATATGGCTTGTCTGGCATACATGAAAACCAGGACAAAATTAATGCCTTGTAATCTGGAATCGGAAAGTCATTTAGGATTGGAACTTAATGACTAAGAAAAACAAAGATTTTGATTAACCAAGCTATTGGAATCCAAGGGAAGAAGTTCTGCTCCCAAGCATCAAATACAGCCTTCTCTGTGACTCCAGCTAATTTAAAAGAAGCTTTAGAGTCAGCTTGTGTTCTGTATCCTGCCTGATAAAAATTTTATTCATGCTATACAGAGATTCATATGCAGAAGAACACAATGTAATGCAGATCTTGAGATACTGAACACTCTTAAGAAATGGCTCAAGTCTCTACCCCAGCACTTACTGAGGTGGGAACAGTGATATGTAACACAGCACAATAAGAAGTGTCTGCTAGAGGTTGTCTGACTCTTATTTTTTTAAGACACCTCCTACATCTTGGAACCTCTTCTCATCTTCCAAAGGAATCTGTTACCTTAATACGAATCACCTCGCCTTGGCAAGTATCCACATGGCATTTTTTCCCAGATTAGGTCTGCAGGATACCACTATCTTGAGTTCTCTGGTGCACACGTATTTCCTAACTTGTGAACTACTTTTGGATCAATTGAGTCATTTATTTTGAAGTACCTTAAAACTGACTGAGGTCTTTCAAAATTCAAAAGAAGGGTACATATCCTTCTTTGTGAATTTTACCTTAAACATTGTGCTTAATTCTATTAAGTTGTTTTATTAGAATACAAGTCTCTCTTTTGGAAGAGTAATAGATTTTTATTTTAATTAAGCATTTAATTTAAAAATATGAATGATGCATACATTTGGTATATCACTACTTCTCTGTTTATTGAATTTACTGAATAAATATCTTCAAAAATTAAAAATAAAGATTTGCAATAAATGTATTTAACATATGAACAGAGAGCAGGGCTAACTCTAACTAGCTCAGCAGCTTCTTCAGCAACTAAAAGCTATTTATTTACTAACCCTGGAAAAAGGCCTTTGTTTCTGACTTAAGGTTTTCGGTTCTTTGTGTTCATTCTTTCTTTACACAAATATCCTTAAGCTGCTTTCTTTTCTTTTTCATTTATGCAGCTTTGCTCATAATTCTTAATCACCTGCATTTAATCTGGGCTTCCCTATAAAAGATCTCCAGGTGTGGAAGGAAAAAAAAATAAAAGAAGAAATTAACCCAGGCATGTGTATGTGAGACACAGATTTTGTGTCACTTACTTGAACTCCCGACCTGTACCTTTGCCTCTTTTTCAAGGAGACCAATGGATAAACCGTAGTGGTCTCCTCGCTACAAATTATTTAAATTGGAGTGCTTGGTGGCTTTAGTATAACCATGGCCTTACAAGAACTATAGCTCATGACAGTGCCAATGGCCTTTTGCATCCCTAACCTTCCCTGCTACAGATTTCCCTGGGCTGAATCAAGGGGATAGGAGGCTGAATTCATTGGCCCCTTCCAGTGGCCATTTCTTTCATCCTTCTTGTTTGCCTTCTCTGATGGGAGTTTCTTTCACTATTTTCAATGTCAGGAGGGCGAGTAGTCATCTTTGGCCCTGCAGCATTTTTTAAGGGTCACGTCAACTATAACACTGTGAAGAACCCTCATTACCGTCCAACAAAGTTTGTTAGCTGAAAACTCCAGCTGCCATGTCTTGCAGAGATGTGGAATGCCCCATGCATGCTTTCATCATGTTGGAGCTCTGCCTGTCACTCATTATCTGTGTACCCATTTGTCACATCCTTCCCAGGTTTTTATTATATGAAGAACCTCTTCTGGTCAAGCTCTTTCTCTTTTCTCTCGCACAGGCTAAGGTGCAACAAAATGTAAGTTACTTCCAGCAGGGAGAATGCCTGGATCTTGGTCACCAATTTTGACAAGAGATTCCATTTTCCAAGAACTGGCCATGCTGCCTGACCTTTGCTTTTGTATTCCAAATATGCCATTCATGTCTACAGATTTCCTCCTATTTCCTTTTCTCTCAGCTCAAGATGTTTTACTCTTTTAAAACACTCATCCCTATCTTAAAATGGTTTTTAGGCATTCGAGCTGGCTGGGTTTGTAAGTCTTCTTATGCTCAATTTTAACTCATTTGTATTCCTAAGTGGTTTCTGTTATATGACAGGAAGGTATAGTATGTATCATTTGATTCATAGTTACATCAGTGAGGTGCCTTTCTCAAAGGTAATCCAAGTTCTTAGCAGCTACAAATGTATCCTTCGTTAGTTCAAGAAACTACCTAAGTGAAAAAAAGTAAATTTGAAGCCACACCTAAGAAAATGAGGTTTCTTTACTGTTAACATGTATGTATAATGATATGTATGTATTGTCTGAATGACATATGTTTCATATGCCTACTAATAAAATTATTGAGATACTTATAAATTATCAGAATTAATGACTATACTTGAACCACAAGATATGCTTCTCATTTCAATATAAAATTTCTATGTAATATCAACTGTTGTGTGTGGCAAAAATATAAAATTACTGATGCCTAATTATCTAATGTAATGAATGAGAACCATCATTATACAGATTATTTGTAATAGCATAAAATATAAATAAAATTTCAAATTGACTTTATATTACAATTTGTATGAAATCCATGTAAATATAAGAGGTATTTTATTAGTTAAAACTTTTCTGACTCATAATTTATAATGACACAAAGTAGCTGAGTGGGGAGACAGAGGATGTAAAAAGAGGAAGGACATAGTAAAGATTTGTCATTTACCACTGAGACAACACCCATACTCAAACACCCACTCGAACAACTGAAAGTTATACTTGAGTTGGCTGTTGTTCTGAGATTCATAAGTGGTACGGATTCTAAAATATTATATAAAACCTAGACGCCTCATTTACAATGAGCAATACCATCTGGGCAATGTAAAATTTCACTCAAATTTTTCAACCTAGAAAGTGAGGATTTTGCTAAAGCCTACACTATAATGCTCTTTAAATAATTTTCAATGGGTAACATTGCTAAGAAACTATAGAGTTAAACTAACTTAACAGCAGAAAATGGGAATTAGAGATTGAAAAGAAATAATCAATGCTCACCATTAAGCTTTTAAATTTTCTATTTTCAGCAATGTGAAAAAAGCCATCTCTTGTTAAAATCTTGATGTGTTTTGCTTCATTATTGTACCTGTGGGCAATGAATAACTTATGAATATAAATGTGTTTTTAATCAGTAGAAATCAATAATTACCAGGGGGCATGCCCCAATAACACTACAGGAATTAATTCCGAAGACAAAATATATACTTATGTCAATACAATGGTGACAGCTAATTAACAAAATGTATTTATTAGATGGGTGGAAGATACAACCAATATTTGAAGTGAGGGAAGATTTGGATCTGACTAATCATCATGCTCAATATCCTTAGTAAGTTCAGCTTGAGAACACACACACAACAACAACACAACCAATCTAGTGATTTGTATTCTTAGAATCTACTACAAATACACACACATCAAGTAAACAAAATATAATGTTATGAAAGAAATCTGTTATGCCAATTAGCAGCCTATAACACCCATTACTGTTTCCCTTGCAGATATTTTCCAGTATAAATGAACTGTCTGGAGAAATGCATTATTTCCGCTGCAATTAGGACCTTGGTTTTCAACTTCAGTATTATGTGTGTCACATGGTATACACAATTATGAACACAGGAAATCTATTTCTACAAAAGCACTTGTCTTACTTACTTAATGCTGATTGCGTATTCTCCAGACTCTTTGCTCCTGTGCCTCACAAGGTAAGTACTATTCACCCTGTTAATAAGCTCCGTTTCTGCCTGTAATCTTTCCATTGGGCCAGCATACCTGTAAAAACACAGTAAGACAGAAAAAAATTGGATAAATGTACCTGAAAACAGTCTAAATATAAGTACTTATCATGGTTTAATGTGTGTGCTAATTACATTGCTTTAAATAATAATTTGGAAAATCTCTTTAATGTGCCTAAACACAAATATGGTACAATATTAACATCAGCAAAATGAACAGTACCTCAAGAACCAGTGAGCACCGTAAATATGAAATAAACACAAAGAATAAAAACAAAGAGAAGAATCAGAAGGTACTAGATCAGAAAGCTATTTAGGACAGTTGTGGGGTGGTTAGGAACAAACAGAGAGAAGAGTTATGGAGGCATACCCCTATGAGACACAGACGGATGACAGACAAACAGGCAGATAGACATACACACACACACACACACACTCACACTCACACACATAGAGTTCACTATTCCTATATATACTATCAAATCAAATCTCTTTTGAGGATCTACTAAAAGTGACTGATATGATTTAAATTATTTTAAAATAATTTTTATTTAGATGTGAAATTAATTATCTTAGTTCATAATTTTGACAAATTTCTAAAGAAGTAAGCAATAATAAAGGACTCATTTTTAAAAGCAGGTACAACTGGAGTTCAAGCTTTCCTAAACTATATAGGCCTTAAGCACAGCTAAACTCCATCAAAACAATAACCATCATAGTAAAATACCTAAACTCTGGATTAAATTATTCCTGCATGACCCTTCACATACCACATAGTGGCAAGGTATATAAAAAATCTGGAGCAATAGTAATTAAAAGGAAACTGCATTTGACCAGTTTTTTTTTCAAGCTATTCATGAATTACATTCCAGAAAAGTATCTGACTCACACAATGATCATAAACACAGTATAAATATATGCCTTTAATCTACGCTATTTAAAATGTACACAGTAGACATTTCAAAAAAGTTGGTAGAGGTGGACACAGCCACTCCTGTACCATGTCTAAAGAGAAGTTAGTGGCATTTTGTACCAATGACACCCTTTTTTAAGGCACTTGTGATCACTTATGACCTATAAGATTCTAGTAAGTCTGCTTCATGCTTAACTCATCTGCCTTATCTCTTCCAACACCTTCATCTCTACTTTCCAACCTACTGTATCTAGAGATTGTCAGCTTCCTTATGATGGTAAGGTCCTCTTAGACTGTGCTCTGGAAGGAATACACACGTCCATCAACACAGTTGATTTCTTTTTCAGGTTTAGAGACTCTTCCTGACTATCCATGTAAGGATCTGTCCTGCATCTTCATGTAACTCTCACTCCATCATTCTGATTACACTGTACTACTATCTGGCAATCACCACAAATGGTGTGTGTGTGTGTCCAAATGGGTTCCATAGTAATGGGAAGAGGGACTGCCTCTGACATAATCTTATTGGCCAGCTCTTTGATCACCTCCCCCTGAGGGGGGAGCAGCCTTACCAGGCCACAGTAGAGGACAATGCAGCCACTTCTGATGAGAACTGATAGACTAAGATCAGAAAGAAGAGGAGAACCTCCCCTATCAGTGGACTTGGGGAGTGGCATGCATGCAGAGGGTGGGATTGGGAGGGGAGGAGGGAGGGGCTTATGGGGGGATACAAAATGAATAAAGTGTAATTAATAAAAAAATAAAATTAAAAATTAAAAAAAGGGAATCTGCACTAAAATGAAAAGGCAGTAGTCTACCATATGAGCATTCTTCTTCAAGTCCTGCATCAAATATTTAACCTGTTTTTTCTTTTATTCATACATGGATATTTTAAATAACTCTTTATGCTCCAATTCATTAACTTCTAACTCTGGGCATAAGGAATGAAAGCCACCTTTCTCCTGACATGCACCCATGTTGTCACAGATTATTGTCTTCCTGTAATTTCTGCAAGCACAAGGCATCACTGGGCCCATTTTTGAGCAGTGCAGGAGTTTTAAAGTATTTGACTTTTTTTTTTTTTTTAGAAATAATTTTTATTTAATTGTTTTGTTGGATCTTTTCTTCTTTTAGCTATTTATTTTATGTACACCTGCATGCCAGAAGAGGGCATGCGATCACATTATAGATGGTTTTGAGCCACTATGTGGTGTCTAGGGATTAAACTCAGGACCTCTGGGAGAGCAGGCAGTGCTCTCTCCAGCCCCAGTATTTGACTTGTAAAAAGGTAAGCACAGGAGTTTGTTTGGGCGGTTTTCTATCTATCACAGTTCTTTCTAAATTCTCTACATAAACTCTCTAACAGTATATTTGCAAGGTTATATACTGTACTTGTAAATTTCTCACTCTTAATGTAATAGCCTCTGAGTTCCACACTCTCTCAAACTGCCTGATTCTTTCTGCCCTTTTTCTTCTCCATTCCCAGTTTCTACATTTTCATTTTCTTTGGATTAACAATTCATCCTTAGGTTTCCGATAAACTGAATATTAACATATAATTTTTGAAGGAAAATTATAACTTATGGAAATATTTAATTTTACCCAACACTTAATTTGTAGAGTAGTTAGGTAGAGAATTCTAGGTGAAAAAAATGATTTTGCCTCTTAAATATAAAATGGTATTACATCATTATCTTTCAACTTCACACTCAATTTCATTTTAATTTCTGACTCATTGGATGTGACTGGATTTTTTGTTCCTTGGAGACTTTCAGATTCCGTATTTTCTATATTAGAAAAATTTAATGATAATATAATTTCTTTTTGTTGGTTTGTTTGGTTTAGCTTCTCTGTGTGGTAATGTACGTTCTTACACTTTCAGTAGCATCTCCAAAATGTAGACATGGCTTTCAACTCTAGGAAATTTTGTATTATTTCTTTATTTGTATTATTTTCTATTATTTAATTGGTGCCCTTGGACATTTTTTCTCTTTCTGGAGTTCTTATGAATTGAATACTAGCAAACATTCATGTCAATTATCTAATTAAAACAAAACATTTCTCCCATGTTATTTCTTTCTTTAATGTTTTTGAAAATTGTTCTCAACCTTATTTTCCCAAGCTCCTTTACTGCTTAATGTATAAAAGCTTTCCAATTCCCAGATAATTCTTCTTAACAAAACATTTGTCTTATACTTCAAAGTTTCCCCCAATTGCCTGCTTTGTCTTTATTGCTTGTTCACGCATAAAGACACAGAATCTAGGAATGACTGAGGGTCCTGTGTGTGCAGGTCCAAAAGTACACCACTGGGTAGAAGTCTGCTAATTTGGCAAAAATCTTGTAATTGGGTTGGGGCACATCCAAATGTTAGGGGTTTAGTTTTTTACTGAGTTCATTCAGTCTCTTTAGAGTTCTCTAAACTCATTTCTGCATTCAAGGAAAGGGCACAATGTGAGAGAAAATGTTACCATGTCAGATCTAAACTATATGAAGAAAATAGGGTTTTTAACCTTAGACAGAAAGACTTTCCTAAATATGAGTGGTTTTCAGAATGGCATCTCCCCAATCTCTGCTGGGCCTGGCCTTTCCAAGTCGAAGCCTTGTATGTTTCTGTTTTCCCATGTAATACACATAACAACACTGTCTCTTGGCAAAATGTAAAAAGACAGGTTATTTAACTACTGGGAAAAGGCAACAGGGGCCTTGGCATCTACCATATTCAGACTTTCAAAGAGCTCCCAGTCTTCAGCATCAGATCTCATCCCAGCATTTCATACATTTCATGCATAAAACATGGGCAATTAAAGACAGTCTTGTTGATTTTCTATTTCATTGCACGGTCTATAGAAGTAATATTCACTTGATGGGATCAAACTACTTTAAAGATAAAAATAATTAACAGATAATCTAAACGGATGAAGTTGAGTCTCATATTCCTAAAACTCAAAGTTTTCATGAGTAGTTGATAATTTTGTTCCTATGTTGAAGATATTTACATAAAACTACTTACTTGATTTGAATGAACTGTCTAGGTTGCTCAAGGAAAGAAACCATAATTTAAAACTTTTACTCTGAAGTGTCTTTGTTAATTCTTCTATCTAAGGAGTTTCCATTGTCTTGCCATCTGGATTTTTTTTTAAATCATTAGGAATAATGCTATTCTAACTGGTTATACCTTCAACAGAATTTCATATCCTGGAAAGATGTACAAACCAGCCTACCCTCTTGTGTCCAGACAGTTCTCAGGTACCTGCCCAAATTATTTAATAAAATCCATGTAGTTGGTGATACTGGTACTTATTTTGAAAATTATTAACCTTTTAATTATGAAATTTACTTGCATGGAAAAATCCTTAATTTCTATCATTAATATACTTTTAACTACCACAGTAACAAAAACATTGGAAATTATCCTCAGAGATGTTAAAATGTAGCAAAGATTCCCAATCTGATCACAATTTCCTTGGCAAACTCAGTGCTGAAGCCAAGAAGAATAGAACAGAGAGTGCAGATAATGACAAGAAAGATCGATATGACAGTTGAGAAGTAGCAAGAGATCTGAAGATAATTCCATACACTTAAAAAAGGCCTGGCCTCTCAACCTCGCCTGGGCAGCAGGATAGAGCTAGCCCTGGTAGCATGGAGTAGGAGAGCTGCTGGTGAGCCAGCCTGGGGCCATGAGAGGGGGAGAGCCACTGAGCTAACCATCTCAGATACATCTCAGGCCTAGATCCAGGGCTGTGAATTGGCTCACCCCAACATCTACCCCATTGATGAACTGCGAGAGTGCCTGAAGGGGCTGTTCCTATACATCCTGTGTCATGGATCTATACGACCAGCCTACAGATCCTATGGTCCTATAGATCCATGACACAGGATCTATAGGATCTCCATGACACAGGACAGTGGGATATCTAGGTATAGTCCCAGTGAAGTTCCAGTATCCATAGAGAAGGGGGAGCAAGAGGTCTCATACCAGACCAAGAAGTCATTGAAATGAACATTTGCAATCAAAGAATTGTAAACAAAAGGGGAATACTGTGGGACACAGCGACACACTACAGCTTCCCCAATAATTTTTTTTTTCTTGGTAGGGGGCGGTTGCAATGGTGGTGAGTGGTCCGAGGGGAGGAAGAGATGACTGGGATTGGGTGATGTGAAATTTACAAAGAACCAATGAAAAGTTTTTTTTTTTTTAATGTCCTGGCCCTTTCTACAAATTGGCTATAGAACAAGGTAATCAGGAAAAAATATGCATCGCATTTATTAGATATTTAAATGCTACCCATATCTGCAAACTGCTATATGCCCTCAAGATACCACATTCATGCACATATTCAAATGATGTATATGAGAGCATAGACAAATACCAGAGAAAAGAGATTCATTCATCTTCAGAAAAGTCAAACACAAACCCAGGGAAACACACACGAATCTGAGGGGTAAGACAGCAATGTACAAAGGGCACCATGTGGAGTTTTGATTTGCATACATCCGACTGGTTGCATGGCTTTACCTTTTCCTATCTCCTCAATAATGATGACAGTAATATCTTCAATGTAGGAATTTGGGGAAACTTTTTGTTACATGTGAAAATGCATTTGTCCAAGCCAAATGGAAAATGGTTTACAACGTCACATTTAATGTGAAATAGAGTATGGAATGTGGTAAGCGCATATAAAATATTCAGCGTACATTACTTGTTATGGTATGATAAAGTCCTAACTACTCTGCTTTCTATGTGTGGCTTTAAAGTTGAACTAAAAAAGAGAGAAAGAGAGAGAGAGAAACTATCCATCACTGTCCATTGCCAACTTTGATTTTGCTAGTACATATGCTCCATCTAGACCTGTTGTATTTCTCCTAGATGAAACATCCCCTCCAGGAGGGAGTGAGGGGCTCATGGGGCTCATGAAGTAAATTAAAGTTCACACTTCTGGGAGAACAGAACCTTGGGAGTCTCTCATGGGCCCCTTTCTAGCAGTCTGAGAAAGCACAGAAGGCATCGGGGAGGGAGCTCTGGAGAGCTGAAGTGCAAAGAAGAGGTTCTTGGGCCGTCAAGCCGGCTCCAGGGTTCACGCTTGCTTTCAGAAGAGGCCACCGGGGTTGAGGAGGGATTTTCACCAATACTATGCTTTTAAGTCATCCCTGTTGCTTGTAACTCCTCCTTGGAAATACTGGTAATGAAGTTCACTGAGCCGGACAGTGGTGGCTCAATCATTACTCTGGCCTGTTATGGCCCATCCATTTCTGTGATGAGTAGACTTGTGTGTGTACATCGTCCCAGGCAAAATATGTCACAAAACAATATCCAAATCAGACACAAATATATCTTATTTTCACATTTTACACTGGAAACTACAATTTTATATACTATCCTTTTGAAGTCATTCTTAATTTTAGGTGACATAATTTTTTTTTCCCTCTCTGCTTCATGAGATTTATCTTTGCAAAATGTGAGGTACATCAGCATCTATCCCATTTCTTTCAGAGGCTGTTATGGACGTTTATAGTCAAGTGCACTCACTTCCACACACATACAAACACCATTAACTCATAACGATACAGACTAGCCAGCAACATACAAATTCATTTTCCTGTTTGTTACATGTGAAAACACCTTTAGCCAGGACAAAAGGAAGAGAGCATGCTTTACAACCACATATTGAAGGTGTCCTCGAGCTAGGAATATGGTATTTCAACTTAGCAACATAAACATTTTTAATACTTACCAAGGTTGGCAAGAGTAATCTACTGGTTTAGGTACCTAGGACATAAAAAGGCAAAATAGATTAAGTTTACTTAAGGGTAGCTTTCAGAAATCAATCATTAATTCAGTTCAGCTGAGTCAGCCCTATAAAACCCTTAAATAGCACAGTCCCAGAACTATCTGCTGGCGAGTTTACATAGAATGAATCATAGTATATGTCAGATAAGTAGAAAATAATTCATTCTGCTTTATTTCATTCTTTCATGCATTTCTCTACTATACCTTCAAGGGAAGAGAAAGCAAAAAATATGAACTAGAAACTTTCAACATTTACTACAAGACAGTTTAGTCCAGCATAGAAAATTAAGATAAAAATAGTATTAAGGAAACCAAGTAGCACTTCCCTTCCTTAAGACAGAAAAACAAAACAAAACAAACAAACAAACAAACAAAGACCTGTGAAATAAACAGTACTCACTAGATGTAGATGCTATTTTGTAATGCAAATTCTAACCTCTGATTTTAAAATCTTTCAACAAGAAAACATTTTATTCATTAAAACATCATGGAAAATATCCACAATTGCACAAGTGAAAATACTACATTTTATGTGCTAATAAAGAAAGCATCTTCTAGCTGATGTCAACTAGAAAATGAAAAAAAAGCCAAAGAATATATAGCAGTTGTAAGAAAAATAACCAATAAAGCACATACCACAGAAAAAGTGACTATTTACAAGCTATTGAGGAAAAAGTAGAATATAGATAGCCTGTTTTGAGTTTTAAAAACCATCATGAATCAGCCAACTTTTTGACAGACACATCCCATGATATTCCTGGGTCTTTTAAACTGGATGAAAGGGTGAAAGAAGGAAGAGAGGAGTTGGTAAGATCTCTCACGCCTTCTACCTGTGGTCTCTCCTTTGGCTGGTAAAGAATGGATATCCAAGAAATGAGGAGTGACATGTAATTTCACAACAAACAACTGAGGATATCCCATCCCAAAATTCCCTAGAAGAGCCTTGGCTTGTTCAGTGAACATGTTCTGTCACATGAGATCTGCTGTTCCACTTTGTTCTGATTGCTGTCATGAAACAGTGGCCCAAAGCAACTAAGGGAAGAAAGCATATTTATCTTCTATTCCCACATCATAATCCATTACTTAGGAAAGTCGAGGCAAAAGCTCAGGGTGGAATGTTGAAGCAGAAACCAAGGAGTACTGCTGCTTGCTGGCTTGCTTTCTGGCTCATGCTTAGCTGGGGTTTTTTGTTTGTTTGTTTGTTTGCTTGTTTTTTGGTTTTTTGTTTTGTTTTGTTTTTTTAATACAGCTCATACTCACCTACCTAGATGGTGCTGTCCACAGAGGGCTGAACCCTCTCACATCCCTCATCAACCAAGACAATCTCCCACACAAAAGGCCACAGGCCAACCTGACCTGAGAAATTTTTAATTGAAGTTCTCTCTTCCCAGATTACTATAGGTTGTACCAATCTGACAATAATACAACCACCTTCTCACCTCAGATTCCTATAACCAGGATAGGATCCTATGGTTTCCCATACCTCATGTTCCTCCTAATTTCTCTTTGCTATACTTTAAGACTTTGTTTTAACAGCCATTTCATTGCTTCACACTTAAGGCAGTAAATCACTTCTGGAAACCTTTTTATCCTTTCAGTATATGGTTCCTATAGTCCTCTAATGACATCGTCTTCCTTTATCATAGATGCTAAATTTCTTCTTTGGACAAGAAAGGCTTTTAAAAACTATTAGGAATACGCGTATGTATGACACATCTTCCTAACCAAGAAGTTTTTTGTAAAATTAGATGACACACTGATTAGGAGTTAAATTTCTAAGCCTACAGTGGTTTTCCTGTCACTTGTCTTGTTTTTGAACATACTATTTCTTTTTTATTGTTTCTGTTATTGAAGTTTCATGTTTTAGAATCTCCATGTAGTTCTTTTATAATACTTCCAAGTTCTATTCTGAGGTTTCCTGTCTACTCATTCATTATGGATGAATATGTGTCCTGAACACAGTTATGATAGCCAATTTCTAAGTATCTTTATACATTGATGTTGTAGATGAATGATATGCAGCCCTTTAGACTAAAGTTGTGGGTCCTTATATTCCCACAAAGCATGTTTCTTGTCTCAAGGCAGGAAGTTAACCTGGTTAAACTGTAGCTTCAGATGGTCTTCTGTGATGAGCAGTGGATGATTTGTCAGTTAACTTCTTTTAGCCCCAGCTGAGGGGCTTACCAGCCTCACTATTCAACCACAGATTTAGAGTTTATACACAGAACTTGGGGTTTCTCCTTTCTGGAACCCCATCCTTTCTATGTTTTCTCTCATAACCACTATGGTGCCTCAAGTTCCAGATTCCAATTCTTTAAGGCAGAGAACTTTACACTTTCTAGCTTAAGTTTAGCCATGTTGAATGTTCTCTGTATTCAAACCAAGAAACGCAATAGCATTCCTATTTCTGCATCTCAACCTTCTTGCTAGCTAGTAGCCTTGGGAAGCTTTTCATTCCTGGTTAGTATTTAATGATTTTTTTTCATTATATTGGTTACCTGGGAATTACCAAAATGGTAGTTTACCCTGACTATCAGCAGGAGAAGTGTATTGCTTCCAATTACCACTGTGGTTAGTATTGACTCCAATAATCAACACTTTTTGCAGTCATTTGTCTTTTCTCTCATGTTGGGTGTAATGTCATCTTTAACATACCTAGTTTTTGATTAATTTTAAGTTATTCATCTTGATTTTGTTCTTTTCCTTCTTTTTTTCTGTTGTTGTTGTTATTGTTTTGTTTCTTTTTTTTTATTAGAGACAGGGTTTTTGTTGAACAGGCTAGCTTTGAACTCACAGAGATCTGCCTGCCTCTGCCTCCAGGTGCCGGGATTAAAGGCGTGTGCAACATGCCCGGCTAGTTTTAAAATCACTTGTATCATCAGTTCTGGAAAGTTCTTGGCCATGATTTATTTGAATATTCTCTACAATTATCTTTAATCTCTTCTAATTGATATGTTTGAATCTTACCATTTCATTCTGTTACAGAATCCATTGCCTCATCTCTCTGGACTCACTTTAGAAACTTCTTCAGATTTCTCTTCCAATTTTCTCCTCAGCCATGTCTGACAGGCCATCTAACATACCCATTAAGGCCTTTGCTTCAATTACTAGATCTGAGTCTCTTATAGACAAAAATCACATAGTGTTGTAATCTTCTCTTACCTCCTTTTTAGTTTCCGGTTATATTAAAAATAGAATTTTGATTTAAGTATCTTCTCCTGTATCTTCTTCATGAATCTAACTCTTTTGTTTCTGTTAACCTTAGCCTGGGGTGGTCTGTTTCCTCATTAACTGCATGATTCTAACTGGTGGATTTATAACCCCCGGAACTTTTACCTGTAACGACCTTTTGGGGGCTATCTGTGAAGAGACTAAAACCAGACAAAATATGTATTTTTACGTGGGGAACAACTGTCTTAAATTATATGTCTTGCTGAGGATTATTAGGTCACAGAGCTGGTGTGACTTCCAGCCCTACATTTGGATAACTTTTACACTTAAGTTTAGAAATCATTAAGGGTGATCATTCTCTCTCTCTCTCTCTCTCTCTCTCTCTCTCTCTCTCTCTCTCTGTAATCTGTCCCAGAGCCGAGAGCAACAGAAAAGTAGCTCTTCTGTGCAGTTGAGTTTTACTGGAACATGCTCTAAAAACTGCCAGATTCACACTTATCTAAGTTTGCCTTATGTCCAAGCTTTGTCTCCAATCACTCTGTTGCCGTATATTAACTACCTCATCTATGTCTGGCCTTTTGTTCTCCAACCTGGATATTCCCACTAGAATGCCTCAGAACATTTGAAGAGACGGGAATAATGTACACAGGAAAATACATTTTCAACTCAGAATAGAATTCAGAGCACTACTCGGGGACCCCTGATTAATAGTGTAGGCCATCGTCAAAGGGATACAGTGTTCAAGCTCATGCAACACTTTCCCCTCTTCATCTGTCTAATTCCTTTCATTCAGCTTGTTCTATAGCTAAAAATAAATCTATTATTTCATTTACCTAAGCAGCTCACTTTAGTAGCTATTTATTAACTTTATGCTATAAGAGCACTCATTTACGTGGTTGTTTTACTCCTGAGTATGTATTGCTGTAGAATTCTTTAGTATCTTAAAATATCTGAATGTGGTTTTCCTTCTAGGCATTTATGGTAGGATTCTATAGCTTATTTAATATGTTAATTGCAAGCATCAAGGGAGCCACATTTACTTTTTCATCCTTTTGTTCATCCATTCAACACATTTAAATACATTTTTAAGGCCAGACTATCTTTAAACCAAAACTCCTAAAACCCATGCAAGATGTTGTAAACAGAAAGTAGTGCTTTGTGTATCAGATGCTTATTAGGGTTCCCAAATGTCTGAATGTTAAAATCTAATTGCTACTTGCTGTTATGTAAACATTGCTGCTTATATTTGTACCTGTGAGATCCAAACTATCTCTCTGTAACAAATAGAACAGCAAATCTTTTTTTAAATTCTATTTGCTTTTCAAAAATAATTAAGCTTGGATAAATGGTGTAAGATTACATTCTCAAATTAAAGGTGACAGATATTAAACTTGTAATATCAAAAAGAATGTGCAGTTGAGAAATATAGAAGTCATGGGAGTATAACAAGAAAAACGTTTTAAGGATTTTTTGAGGTTATCTCCCCTTAAGTAATCATATTAGTAAAGACATTTCATCACTTTGAATTCAGTAACTTTAAAATTGTGGGAAAATCATGATGTTAAAATAACGCCACTCCACGTAGAAATGAATCAATACCACAAAGCATCAAGGAATACATTTTATATGTTATTTACCCATATTATTTGAGTAGTAGTCATTGTGGTAGTTTAAATGAAAATGGCCCATAGGCCCATAGGGAGTCACACTTCTAGGAGGTGTGGCCTTATTGGAGGAAATGTGCCTTCGTCTCTGCCTGTTGCTTGCCTGTCCAGATGGAGAACTCTCAGCTCGTTCTCTAGCACCATGTCTGCCATCTTCCTGCCATGATGATAATGGACTAAACTTCTGGAACTGCAAGCCAGCCCCAATCACATGTTTCCTTTATAAGAGTTGCCATGGTCATGGTGTCCCTTCACAGCAATAAAACCATCACGAAGACAGTCATTCCCCTTGCACCCATTTTCAGAAATTTTCATTATGATATTAAATAAACAGAAAAGACATTCTAAAGCATAGAAAATGTATTCAGAGACCCAGTTGAAGAATTTGTCAACTTTTCACTCTCTACTATACTTTCAAAGACACCAGCTGAAGTGCAATGACTTTCTGTAACCTGAGTGACCAGGAATAAGTTAGACCATTTACCAAACCTGCCCAGTACATCCACTCTGTTCTGTGGCTCTGGGTTACTTCTCCTAAAGACTTTTCAACAATTTTGTAAATTCTAAGTTATGTTCCTATCTTGCATGTATCTCCCTAACATTTGAAGTATTTTTCAGCACAGATTAAAGTATATTCTGTGAGATTATACTCATGCAAGACTTGGGCTCCTATGAAAATATTAACAAAACCCATGAGCAGTCAACATCCTTTACATCTTCTTACACAATTAATCATAATATCAAAGGCAAAATAAAGCAAGAAGGAAGTGAAAGGTGAGAACTTACACACGGAGATGGTTTGACAGCATCACTGGGGAAAAATCCAACCTCTCCTGAAGCTAAGTTTCGTCCCTAAGTAAGAAAAAGAAACCATCACTGAGAACAAAATAATAGTGGCATGCTGTGGTTTATACAGTGTTGTTCAACTTAGAATCATCAGGTTGTTCACATTTTGCATTTAGTACTCAACACTAATTCATGGGCCCAGAAGAGGAAGCAGAGGCAGAGACGTTTTGTTTTGTTTTCTCCACTGTTGAACTTTCCATGTGGTTTTAGGTTATGATCATAAAATAACTAATATACTTGTCAACATTTGATTTTGAGACCTTTATGTCTTTCAATATTATGTGGAGAAGAAGCCTAAATAAAGTTTGTTGCTTATGAAGTTCTCATTACATATTACAAAGCGTTCTCAGTTTTCATTAACTCTTGAATCAATCTTTTATGGTAGAGTCAATTACTATCTTCAGTTTTGTAGAAGAAAGAAATGAAGCATACAGAAAGTAGAGAATGTCCCTGTGATCACAAAGATAGCAAATAGCAGACCCAGATTCAAACCCGGGTGTTCTAAGTATAGCTCGACACAACTTCTCTATCCTAAGAAAAGGCTCATCAAAGAAGGACCCTTCTATGACATCTAAATATTATCATAGGTGATGTTATTTTACCAAAATAAGTATGTACTTGTAAACTGCCTCAACGTGAAAAACTGCTCATGAATTTGGGGATGAAAACACCATTAGAGAATTGGTACCATGGTATGAGAAACTCACCCATGGCCCCTTCATATCCTCTTAGCAACACACAAAGTAATAGCCCAAATTTAGCAGAATGGACAGCTATTATTAATACTGCACATTCATCTCCATGACTAGACCATGAGTTCTTTGATGTTTGCCAAAAGGTCTTAGTCATTTTTGTATAATACGATGTTGGGTGCAAAGCAGGTATTCAATAAATATTCGTTAATTAAAGTATCTTTCTCTCAACCTGATAGTCCCAGGCCAATGATTACTATGAGCTCAAATAATGTCACAGACAGTAAAATACACCACACTGCATCTTTTAGGCGCAGCTGCTGAAAAGGCATCATGCTGTTTCTATGCAAAGATATTCCTTCAGTGAAATTCTCTGACTTTTTTTAAATGACATTCTAATAATGAGTGTGTGTTTGAGAATTTGTATATGTGGAGTGTGTAATGTCACAAAACAGAAAGGGTGGAAGTAAGACCATTGAATTGGATAGTTTATCAAGATATATTGACAACTACATTGTAAAACAATTTCCACTTTAAACCAAGTGGGCTATAAGAAATGCATGAATGGAAACAAGTCATCCTGGTTATTGAGGAAGAGACCATAGCTTCATAGAGAACATCCTACATGAGGAAAACATAATTTTCCACACAAGCTTAGGACATCTTTAGAGTAAATATTAACAAGTAATAATTATGTCAGGAAAAAAGGTCTAAGTTGTGATTATTCTGGGTCTCAGTGATAGCAAACACATGTAGAGATCACATCAAGAGCCATACTGTTGGCCCACTATTTCCTTGCCTCAAACTTTTGTCCACTACTGTGCCAGAACCAAAAAGGAGTTTGCAGTTGGACTCTCTTTCTGCCAAGATGTCTTCTGGTGTTGTTGGGATCAGTAAGCAGGCACTTCTACAGCCAGCTCCAAGAAACCTGACAGACTGGTTATCAGGCACTTGTGAAGACACCCAGACCACCTGCTGACCACCTGAAACTACCTGCGCATGCTCTAAATCACCCTATAAAGAGAACAGGAGCCCCCCCTCTCTCTCTGCCTAGTCTCTCTGCGACCCCTCTCCCCCTCTCCCCCCTTCCCTCAATAAACCTCCCACGTGGAACCGATCTTGTGGCGTGATTTGTGAACCCGAGTGTAACCCTCACATTCGCACGTTTCCTAACAGGTGTACTGACTGAAGTCTTGCACAAGGCTGAGGGCCACATAGTAACATGTGAGACCAAGACTGTTGAAGGAAGTTCATGGACACATAGGACAACATGACCTGCCAGATGTTCAACACCACAGCCGTGAACAGAGATGGCCGACGAGTACTCCTGGAATAGATGCCCACACTCAGTAACAAGAAATGGTTCTGAGTTTTGACTGACACGCTGAAAAATGCACTCAAGTTAACGAATATGAATAACAAAAAGCAAAGCTCAAAGGCTGGCTAAGAAAGAGGATGCATAATGGGGCATGAACAGATCTTCCAGAAGTGAAGATAATTTTCTCTGCTGAAGAGAACTGTATCCTTTTTAATCTCAGGTTATCTGGTGTCTGGGGTTTCTTTGCAGGCCTGCGGGGGTGGAGGGCTACCTGTGCATATGTCCTAGATGTTCTTTTGATCAGAGAACCCACTAAGCTAAGTAAAGTCTGGGTGTTTTGTGGAAAAAAACCCCACAGTTTATTCTTTCTTACCTCACCTCAAGGACAGCACCAAAGTAGGTTTCACTGAACAGATTACCAATGATCAGTGTCAACTGTTTAAAGTTTTTAAAAATGTCTCCTAATGAAATACCCAAGACAGGTGTGATAGTACATGCCTTTAATCCCAGCAGTCTAGGAGGCAGAGATATGCAGATCATTGTGAGTTTGAGTCCAGCCTGGTTTACAAAGCAAGTCCAGGACAGCCAACGCTACACAGAGAAACCCTGTCTCAAAAAAGAAAAAAAAAAAAAAAAAAAAAAAAAACAAAACCAAACAGCAACAAACAAACAAGAAATACCCGAGCAGGGCAGTTAAATCCATGTAAGAGTCACATGTTCCTTCAGGCAGAGAGGGAAGAGGCACGGCAGCCTATCTTAACAGAGGAGTGAAGTCAGAGCTCCTCTCTCATCCTGTAAGAAATTAGTCTTCGTTTTGGGAGATAACTCGTGCTATATTCAATGATTCCCATTTATTAAGGAAATGGCAATTCTAAGACATTTGGAGGCTTCAAAACAAAGCAGCGTGTAGGCGGGATGTCTTAGGCTCCTTGGTGGATGTGTGTGGGAGGCACATGGGTAATTCATTAATACTAATGGGTAGAGCAGCTGTCAATCCCCTACACACGGGTGGAAGTGCAGGCTGGAACTATGAAATAAACTATCCGAGAAGGCAATGATTCAGTGCACTTGATGGGATGATCTATCTGTGAGGTTTTACTAACCTTGATAAAAGACATATATCTGAATTTTCTTATTTTATTCTTACATGAGCATTTTATTCTGCGTCAAATAATCAGCTTGTCATCTTTTTCTTATGTCTATTACAAAATGCCAGACATAAGGAATAATCTTTTAGTTATCTTCCTGTCTGGTATTTGTTCTGTAAGTTCTGTCAGTCGGGACAAGGTCAACTTGAAAACGTTCCTGTTTTGTACTATGTGTCACTTGATAGGTAATATGCTGTCTTTGTATGCATTTATTCTGCAGGGACTCTTGCATCATATGATGGGACTTTTGTAAACTTAACATTACTAGCTGAGTCTCTTTATGGAATTCCTTCTCTGGAAAGGACCAGAGAAAATAGGTCATGAACTGCATATGCTGAGGGGAGAAACAGCTCTATGATTCATTAAATAAACTGAAGCAGATGCAGGAAAAATATTAAAGTATAATTTATACGATAATAATGCTCTTTTTGAAAAGCAGGTTGCTTCTGCAGAAAATATATTGAACTAAAATTATTGACAACTTCCCTGATATCCCTGAATATCACAAATGGAAATGCATAGTCAGGCTCTTACTTATTCCTAACTGACCTTAGGCTTTAACTATTCCTCATTTTTCTTCAAAAGACTCTACAGTGGATCATAAGAATTTAAACTATTTTAGATTTGCCAGTAGAAATAAACCTATAATCTACCTGTAGAGAGAAAAACATTAATGCATGCCAGGATGCCATAGCTAAAACTGCATTTTAAGCCCACAGACAAAAAGGCTTAACATGACAGAGGATGTCCTCCAAAAATCTTAATCGTAAATTGCTTGGCTTCGAACTTTGTGGGGGGGAAAAAAAAGAAGAACAAATTGCTTTAAGAAAAATATGCCATCTCTTCCCCGTGGCTCGTTTATCCCCCTAATACTATCTGGATTGGAGCTTTGACGCACTCCTGGAAGAGCTCGGAATGATTTCAAACAGATTTGGAAAGCTAAAAAGGCTAGTTAATGGTTATTCATGAAAGGTGGGAAAATCTCCCCCATTCCAGCGCCCTGAATACTCAGAACGTATATGCTTGATGGTGCTATAAAAGCAGGCCAATCAGTTCATGTCAGAGACAGTCCCTGTTCCTATGGCCAGGATTCATTTAAGCGTTTGGCACATTGTACCTTTTGCTTTCACTTTCTTAGGTTGTTATAAATAAAAACCAGATTATGTAGCTAAGTAGTTAATTTGAAAATAGATTTTTAACATGTTCTTGCTCTCAGTAGGGCGTTAGTTGTATGGTGATTCACACTTGTCATTTTTAATCCTGAATAATATGGATGTAGTTCCTGCATATGATATTCTTATTTAGATGCACTGCATGAGCAATTTTACTACTTTTCTGGAAGTTTTGTTGTTTATTCATTTGTTTTGTTCTTACTTTCTATCTATTATATTTGCCTGAAACTTATAGCATCTGATTATCTTATGCAGTTATCTATTGTCTGTGGGTATTACTGTAATCTCATTTCCATTGGTGATTTTGTGAGTTTTTAAATATGAAATGGTTTATAAATTCATGTAATTGTGAGAAATCTTCAAAACTTGATGAAGACAGAGAACATATTTTCATCTTGCAAATGACTGAGGACATTATAATCAGGGACTTAATTTTAATCAGGCAATGTTGAGTAAAAACACATATAATGGCCAAAAAAAAAAAAAAGGCCACTCTCTTTATATGAACTCAAAATTGGTAATTAACATTAAGACTAATTTATCAATCCCATTCCAAGTTGTAAAGGGTCTCAATAATATACTTTCAAGCACAGTATAACTACTCATTCTGCTTCAAGGCACATCTGAGAGAGTGATATATTTCATTGGCATTAAAATTTCTTCAGTCCGAAAAAAA